TAGTAGTAGTAGTAGTAGTAGTAGTAGTAGTAGTAGTAGTAGTAGTAGTAGTAATATTTTTATTATTATACAGTGGCGTAAAAAAAAGAAACTTGAAATTGTAATCACCCACTCATCCTGTTAAAGCCTTGTGTTACCCATTCACACGACATACTAATTTTAGACTAAATGCATTCTGCATCATCTGATACATTAATCATTTATCAATGTTAAGAGATATAGTTACTCAAAGCTAAAAAATCAGGCTTTGCAAAATTGTGAGAAAATTATTTTTAAAAGTGTATTGAGGAGCCTTGATAGAATAGACATACATTGCAGATTCAATGAATGGAGAATTTGGTCTCTGCCATAAACAACATTTTGTTACGATATTTTATTATGATGGTTTCAAACAAAACTGAAAACAGCGCAATAACAAACACCTTATAAATCTTGGACTTTGCATTAAATCTGCTATTTGTTTTTTTGCTTCGGAGCCATTGGTTTTGCATAGTGCACAAACCCTTTGGGTTTCGACTCTATTAAATTTTGAACATAATTACCAGTCATTTCACACCAAATGTCATAGAGAGTTTTAAACAAAAGGTCTGAATTGAGAACAAGGTCGCGTTTCTTCAGCTGCTGTTTCATGGGACTTGACATACCCGTAGGATTCACATCGGGGCTATTTTCTGGTGACCACTCCAACATTGGTATGATTCAATTTTCCAAGAGTTGTCTTGTGACATTGGCCCATATGTAAATGCATACATAAAAACCTGGACACCTCTTACAAACCGTTTAATTTAAGCAATGTTTACAATTGTGCTCATAGTCTAGAAGCCGACATTTGGGTTGTGTGATATTTTAATTGACATTAGTGCTGTCAAAAATTCGTGGCGCAACTTATTGCCAAACAAGTTTTGCCACTAAAACGTGTCTTTGGTTAGCTTTGATGCAGGCCATATGCGTAAGCAAAATGTGCTTGAGAAGCGGGAAGTGCTGTGAACAATCCCATTTTCTGAGTAGTGGAGATTTATAGTATTTTATATAAATTTAAGAAAGAAAGGTTTTTAATTTAGCGTCAATTGCTGTGGAAAAATGTTGTAAAGTTCAGACAAATGGACCCTGCTGTGCTAGGTATGGGTGACACCGATTCAATCGTTAAAGAGTTTTCTAAGGATAAGTTGCCCCACGAATTTTTGATGGTACTATATCAAAGATCTTACACTACAAGATTGTTCACTAAATCCCCAAAAAGGGTTAGCGGAAGTCTGTGCATTGCTTCAGATGGCATTGCACTTGCGGTTTTGAAGTCATCTTTCGTTTCTCCATACCTAGAATAGAAATACGTGAGGTTTGGGTTTTTCAAAATTTTAACTCTCATTCTAAAGCCAAAGTAACTTTCCAAAGCAGTCGCTTCTTCCACCTAAAAGAGGCTTAATGTCAGCGTAACCAGGTGTTCTTCCAAAATTTGAATTCTAGTTTTATTTAAAAGAAAACTAGTCAGAGTTTCACTTCATTTTTTTTCCCACAAGTAGGGTAGCTCTGTGAACTAAGTCAACACTTCTTCGGAGAGGGTGCCGCCAGATTTAGAGGACGAACTTTTAATAGGCTCAAAGAGAGGAGCGAACCATCTTGTAGTGTACGATCTTTGTCCATATGCATGGGAACTGACGATACTCTTTTCTCTGGGGGGGATGGTGAAGAGTAAGGGATACTTACGATTACGATCATAGTCTACAAGCCATCTCTGCAGTATGATGATATTTCAACTGATCAGTGATTTAGCTTACAAAGAGGAAACTTGCACTGTGCACTTTCCAGAAAGTTGAGAGATTGTTTTAGAACACTCTCTAACCTGCTGGGGTAATAATGAAGATTGTACAATGTATAATATGTGAGGCAGCGTGGTGGAATCAGGCTCTCGTCAAAATAACCAAAGTGAAGAAACTTGAATTTTTCCGCAGGTTTGTGAATTTTCATCAATTTTTTATTTTGGCTCAACACCTTTCATGCTCATTAAAGAACTCATTTTTGTGTAGATTTTCTGAAAAATGTTGAATAAAGGCACTCACAGCCTGTCAATTTTCAGTTACCACGGACTCTTAAGCAAAGGAAATAGCTCATCTTTGGCGGCCATTTTCTCACTAATTTTTCCTCTAAAAACAGGTGACCCTCACCTCCTTCTTTCGCAAATATCTCGACTTGTATTCAAGATAATGGATATTTTTTTATCCAAATAAAGACAAGTGAACAAGCTTTAAGTAGATACTAATAGCTCTACATGCCCCAAAATTGACGAGAGCCTGATTCTAACACTCTGCCTCACATATAATAGTGTCTGCTGTTGAGCGGGGATTTGCTATAAACAAATGCTATCTATCCATCTATACATCAATCACTATTATTATTACGATTATTATCTTTATCATTATTACTGTTATTACTATTATTATT